TTTTTTTTTTATGTTACCCCCTGTTTGGTGTTTTTATTATTATTGCTATTTTAACAGAAATGATGTAACTTTAGGAACTTGTGAAAAGAATATGTATTCGGGTTTGGTCTATAATAATAATAATAATAATAATAATAATAATAATAATAATAAGTGCTTGGCAATACCGGCCACCTCAACGTGATGCCAAGAGCCAGCGAAGTTTTTCTATTTGGAAGACCCGTTGGCCCTTAAATTACGGCTTTCTACAGTACCGGGACCAGCCGCGCCGTGCTGGGGCAGAAATATATACAAGAAGATCCGGGGGCACGTGTTAAAAGTATTGTCAGCCTACTACTACTACTACTATTGACAGCCGTGCTGTTGGAGTAACATCCATAAGAGAACGAAAAAAATAAAAATAAATAAATAAAAAAAAAAAAAAAACCACAAGCGGGGGAGAACAATAGTAATTTTTCAATTGCATTGCTGCTCGTTGTAAAACAAAATACAAATATTCAATTACTAATATTTTATATGATTTTTTTTTTTTTCGATTTATGTAATATCATTCTTTAATTTCATTTTTTTTTTATCATTTTGCTCTTGCTTGGGTTTTTTTTTCCCCTCCTTCTACACTTCTCTTTGTGGTACGGTAAGGCGTAAGTTATTGCAACATCTCGGATGGCCTATTTTGTATGTGTATTATTGTACTCCACAAAACGCTTGTACTCTTTTTTTTCTTCGTTTTGCATGTCTTTGTATATATATATATATATGTAACGCATATCTACCTTTCCATCTCTATATATACGGTAGTGTCTGGGAAAAGTGCACAAAAGGGTGAGGGGAAGAAAAGGGAGACCAACCAAAAACTACAAAACGCCAGATTTTTTTTTTCTCTCTTGTAAAAAAAAAGGGAAAGTGAAGTGTTTTTGTAGTTTTTTACTATTACTACTACTACTACTATATTATTATTATTATTATTATTATTATTATTATTATTATTATTATTATTATTACTGTTATTATTATTTTCTCTTATGGACGATATCCGCTTCCCAGCCTGGGTGCACCGTGCACCGGTCTTTATAATGACGCGAGTGCTGGGAAAACACCTGCGGCAGCAAATATTGACCTCGACGACAGCAACAACAACAACAACAACAACACCATACTACCACAATGAAAGTGATGTCCAACCCACACCTTCGATATTTAATCCCAGGTATGTTGATCCATTAAGTTCCATTGATGAAGATGAACATTCCTCCGCCATGGTTCTCAGTGCTAATAGGAGAATGCCCCACGGTGGGGTTGGACCGCATTCTACACAGGATGTAGAATTAGAATCTTCCTCATCGCAATTACCTTCTGGTGATGTCCTGAATCATCCGCGAGTTGTGTTGTTAATAAGTTTATCACAAGTAAATGAACTCATGACGGAAAAGGTTGGAGTTTCTGTGAAAAATGCTCCTGCTTTAATAGCTCTAATGGCCCTTGCGGTTGAATTACGTTCATTACCATCAGATTTCACCAAAGGATTTTATACAGAGTGTGCATCCTTTTACACATCTGTGATGCAGCGCCTTAAGAGTATGATATTTTTACCAGGTGTTGATGTGCAGGGATTTGTGGCATCACTCGTTTCTTGTGGTTTACTGTTGCGATGTGTTGAGGAGGAAGAAGATGAAGAAGACGGAGAAGAAAAAGAAAACGGAAATGAAAATGATATTCATGGTGTTAACAATCATGAGAACACTAGTCGTCGTCGTCGTCGTTGTCATTATCATAATAATGATAATAATGATAATAATAATAATAATCATCATCATCATCACTATAATGGTAGAGAGAAAAATATTGGATTAGCGGGTTTTGACAGTCGAATCATTGATTCTATTATTCTTTCTTGTATTCCTTCTGAATTTGATGATTGTGTAGGTAATCCTATTGCGTTGGGTGCAATAGAGGGACTTGCATATGCGAGGAAGAAAAAACCGGTTCATTTAAGTTTACAACTTATTGATCAATTACACAATCTCACAGATGCTTTCACCGTGTCACCAAGGCGAAAAGAATTACTCTATAAACAATTACTTTGTTACCTTATGGAGGCTATGTGTAGAGCCAAATGTATTGACTACGCTCGAATGCATAATTGGTTATCCGCAACACTTCAAGGGGAATATTTACTAAAAGGTCTTTTACAGAAGGAAAATTTGCATGCACGTTTGGTGGCTGCAACTCTGACACTCTTATCAAGATGGATTCAAGACACTGTATCTATATATACCTTTGATACACCATCTCATGTTGGTAATAATAATAATAATAATAATAATAATAATAATAATATAGAAGAGATACCTAGTTTTGACACTAAAGAAGAAATTCAAGAGGCGGATACACTTTTAGAAGGTGTTTGGAATTCCCTTCATGAGGCAATAGATACTTGGGAAAAATTAAACAAAACGAATGTTACATTATATGGAGATAATGTACATATTGTGGTGGAGAATTTATTACGGGTGGAGTTAGAACGTGTTCAGTGTTATCGGGTAATGAGTGATAAACAACGGGTAATGGATGTATCGGAATGGAAGGATGATCCTGAAAATACAAAAGACATACCATCTAAAGAGGAAGAAGATCTTATATTAGGAGTTATAAAAAATATTATAAAGTTTCTTCTTCTTCCAGGAAGTGTATTAGGTGCTATTAGATCCGGAACTGTAACAACACCACTTCAACGAAGTATTGCCGAACAATGTGTAAAGGTGGTAACTCTTATAGTTTCAACAGAAGGTGATATCCCGTTAGTAGGACGGAGTTCACTCACTTCTTCTTCTTTTTTCCATAACGGGAAAAGATGTTTTTCTAATAACTTTTATAATGTTATGGAAAGTATGGTACATGAACTTATTCTATGTGTATTAGAAACAGGATCTGTTCAGGAGTCGTCACCTTCTTCTTCTTCCTCCTCCTCAGGCACGACAAGAGAAGAGAATACGCGTCGTTTAGCCGCATTATGTTTACAAGGTCTCTGTGCCACGAATGCTCAAATCCGTTCTTTTGCCGTGACGGAAGTATTAGATGCGGTGGTGCGATTTCCAGCAGTTAAACAACAACAACAACAACAACAACAACAACAGGGTATAGAGATTGGACGCAATACAATGACAGCGGGAATAGGGAAATCAGCGAACGCTGCAGTTGTTGTGCCTCGTTTATCTGTATGTTTTGATATGATGAACCGTATATTAGTTTCACCGCATCGTTCTATTTTACATCCACTCCCGCATGAAGGACTCTTACGATTTGCAAAACTCTTATGTGATACCTTTGAGGATACCCTGCGATTGCATGTTCACTCTGGTGATCTCAACAATCCAACCAGTGTGTTTCCCAGTTCTACTCTGTTCGTAGTGTCGGAGTCGTTTTGGAAATTAGTTTGTCGATGTCATGAACGTATTCGAGTAATGACACGTGAAGGTCTTCGTCTAGAGGCTTGTGGTCGTGAGGCGGCAAAGAAAAGATTACTGTATGCATTAAATGAAGAGAGTAAAATTCTTCGTTTACTCTTACGGGTTATGTTAAGTTGTATGATTAATGTAGCTTGGCCAGGATCTGGTATTCTCTATACTCCAATTGCAAATCATCATAATACCGGTAAAGAAGAAAAAAATCATTATTCTAATATGAATGTGATTAAAGTTGCACTTGAAGTGTTATCTTTATTTCTTCGTCCTTTATGTTTATTATGTCAACTCTCCACTTTATTTCCCGTTACAGATATATCTAGACTCTTATATCATCATGAAAATGCCACAGAACTTACACGTGTAGATGGTTATGATTCTCTTCTACATTATTATTGTTTTCAACCAAATAATGTTAATTCTCCATTTTATGAAGATAATGGGATGGCTCAATTCCGTTCATGTTGGCTTATGCTCTCATTCTATTATTTTACAAATGAAGCGGCGTTGCTAACAGATACTAGTGAAACAACAACAGCAACAGGAGGAGGAGGAGGAGGAGGAGGAGGGTCAACGTTATTATTATCATCCTCCTCCTCCTCCTCCTCCTCCTCATCATCCTCATCATCCTCATCATCGTTAGTAATGGGACAAGAAAAACAAACAAAATCTTCTCAATTTAAAGTACCGGATTGGTACTCTCGAAAAAAGATTATACTTACAAGGGATCAGGCAAAATGTATGAAATTACTTGCGGCTTCAATGCCCCCATTATTGTATATGCGATCTTCTGATTATCAACAAACAATGGCAGATATTGAGGTACTAAAACGAGAATTATCGGATGATTGTAGTCTTGTTGATTATAAAAAATATCGTAAAGAAATGTTACGATTTATTCGTCATTATTGTCCAGAATTAAGAAAACATGGTGGAATTCGATTATCTTTTTCAGAAGTTTATTTAGTAAATGCCCTTCTTACATTAGAGGTTCTAAGAGCCTCCTGTGGTTCTATTTCTACTATTACCCAATATCAACATTATGAGGTTCGAGAATTTGATGCTAGTAAAGATGTTAGAGATAGTGTACGATATGTAACGTTATCTGTTACTATGCGGTATATTGCTACTTTAAAAAATATGTTACCAAATATTGCGGCTAGAAGAATAGATGAGGATGCCAGACAACTAGTTTTATTATATGGATTTGCCATTGATTCCGTAGGCCGCTCAGCAAAAGAAATTCTTACCAAAATCATTGAAACCTTTCCAGATTATGCCACCAATAGTACCGCCCTCCCACTCTTCTGGACAGTTATCAATTTAATCGATATGGGAAGTGCAGGGGAGGTGGAACGTTTCTGTGCCCATTTACGTTTTCCCGAAACCCCTGCGGTGGCCACAGATCCAGAGTCTTTTGAAAGACGAAAACAATTACAAGATGCCGTGGCATTTGCACAGTATTGGATAGAAGTGGCTAGAAAGAATTCTCCTTTAGCCTTATTAGAACATGCCACTTTATTTATTATGAAGGAGGAAACATCATCATCGGAAGTGTTTGGTGGTTCTGGTGCGGGATCACGATTGGCCATTCAGGCGTACAGTGTGGATGCCGCTTCCACACATTGGGGTCAGAAATATGCACAAAGTCTTATTAAGCGAAGTAAAGCACAGGGACAAGTAACCGCTATTATTCAATTAGCCCCATTTGGAAGTGTAGATAAGATTTTTCTTAAAAGACTCTATACAATGGTAAAGGAAGGTCTTGAAACAGCACAGGTAGCGGAAAGATTACATGAACAATTTTTTGTATCTTTACTAGGTACAGTTCGAGTTGAAGATGATGCCAATAATAATAATAATAATAATAATAATAATAATAATAATAAACATCAGGGAAATACATTTGGAGTTGTAACTCAATCCACTGTAAAGAAAATGCATGAAGCGGATACACTTCTTTGTACAGTTGCTGCATTTCTCATGTCAGCCAAAATTTCCCCTTCATCCCATATGGAACTATTACGATATCATGTACAAGGACCTATTCATTTATTTACAAGTTCTTATATAAGTGCTGCTATCAGGTGTTGGAAATGGTTTTTATTTGAGAAGCGAGAACGTTTTGCAGTTCCATTATTAGCTCAAGTAATAGAAGGATTTTTTTGGACTATTTCACAAAGAATTGGACTTTTTGATGGTTCTAGACCTTCACAAACGGATGAAGTGGAAACTGGAGAGAAAACAGGGTCTATGAAGAGAAGTACAAGTATTTATCTACATGACTATAATGTGAATTCACCACATAAACTATTAATTGAATTTATTTCTACATGTTATGTGGATTATAGAGGACCAGTTTCCTTTTATCCATCGGTTCTTCTACTTTTACATCATTTCGCTTTACGAATTGTGGAATCTCCCTCACGATTTTCTACAAAAGATTCATCTTTTTCAGAAACTATTCGTTGTGCCTTAATGATAAGTTCTATTTGTCGAAATTTACAAGTTGCGAATGAACGTCGTTTATCTATGGGTTCATCTATTCTTGTGGCTTTTACTTCTATTGGAGTACTTCGTCAAGGTTGGTATAAATGTTTACTACAATGGTTTCGCAAAACTCCACCATCATGGTACTTTACACGAGATCCTACAGCGGCAGAAGAAGAATTAGTGGCATTACAAAAACTTATACGTGTATTAGATGCCGATCGTGAAAAACTTTCAAATTGTGTAGATGGATTTATAGATTTTGCATTACCAACAAGTTCATCGCATCATATGGTTAATCTTACTCTAGTAGGGAGTAAAGTTCATCACACAACTCTTGATGGGGTAAATAAGGTAAATGGTGAATCTAATAAACTTCTTAAAGAAGTAGAAATGGATGAACAAGAACGAATTTTAAATCTTATTAGTTTACTTAGACTTTTAGTAGTTCATGAAAGTAGAAGACTTATGGTATGGCTTAAACCACGAGAAGCTCATAAAATTCCAAATGATATTGATTGTAATATTATTACTAATATTAATACTAATACTAATAATAATAATAATAGTAATAATAATGTTAATAATAATATTAATAATGAAATATCAGAAGCATCATGGAAAGTTTATTGTGAAGCAGCTGCACGTAATGATCCTGGAGTACTTTTGGCTTTGGTAGTACGATTCCCAAATGTTTACGTTATGGAATTTGCTTCTAAATTAGTTGCAGAAAATCCTCAAAGGTATTCTCATATTCCTGAAGCAGTAGATTTATATCTTACGGATGAAGTACTTATGAATGGTTATCCTGATCTTTATTTATTTACAAATTGTGGTATCATTCAAGCACTTCGTTTCTTAGATAAACGTTATACAACACGTTATCCACAAGTTTCTGCATATGCTCTTCGTAGTCTTTTATCTCAGAAAAGTGAAAATCTTATTTTTTACTTACCACAAATTTTACAAGTTCTTTCTGCTGATGAAAGTGGTGGTATTGCTTCTTTTCTTTGTAAAATGAGTGAAAAAAGTGAAATGTTTACCCATCAATTACTTTGGTCATTACAAACTGAAGGTGAGGGTGAGGGTGAATTGGCAAAAAAATGTTTACAATTAGCTAATGAAATACGACAACGATTTAATGGTGTAAGTCGTAGATTTCATGATGATGAATTTTCTTTTATTGATAAACTTATCGCATTATCAGGAGAAATGAAACCCATTGAAAAGGCACAAAGGAAAGAAAAACTTCGACTTCGTTTACGAGATAAAGAGTATCATGAACCTATAGGACGTTCACATTTGTATCTTCCTACAGATGTAAATTGGCGTATGGTGGATCTTATACCTGAAACAGCTGGAGCTATGCAGAGTGCGGCAAAATGTCCAATATTGGTACAATTTAAATGTTTACCTCGAAAAAGTGATGACACAAGAATAAATCAAGAAACAAAAGTAGATAAATTACATAATGAATCGGAACCGATAGTAAAAGCATGTATTTTTAAAATGGGAGATGATTGTAGACAAGATCAAATAGCATTACAATTAATTGGTCTTTTTCAACGTATTTTTGATTCTATTCAAGTTCCTTCATATTTATATCCTTATCGAGTAGTAACGACTGGAAGTGAAAGTGGTATTATAGAATGTGTTCCTCATGCGATGAGTCGTGATCAAATTGGTAAACTTGTAGAAAGTAATATAGCAGAATATTTTGTTCAGACTTATGGTCATCCTGAATCTGTTACTTTTCATCGTGCAAGAGATTGTTTTATTCGAAGTATGGCATCATATTCAGTAGCTTCATTTATTTTAAATATTAAAGATCGTCATAATGGAAATATTATGATTGATTCTCAAGGTCATCTTGTACATATTGATTTTGGATTTTTATTTGATTATTCACCAGGTGGTGATATTAATTTTGAATCCTCACCATTTAAACTTACAGCTGAAATGCTTCAGCTTATGGGACATCCTGTTCGAAAAGGAAAAGGTACAGTTCAAAGCTCTTTTTTAACAAAAGCATTACTGAATCCAGAAGCCTATGACCTTTTTGTAGATCTTACGGTTCGTTGTTTTTTAGCTGTTCGCCAATATGCTAAACAAATTTGTGTACTTGTAGAATTAATGCTTGGAAGTGGTTTACCATGTTTTAAACCTCGTAGAACTATTCAAGACCTTTCTTGGCGACTTGCCATGAGAAAAGGTGAGGCAGAAGCAGCCGAATTTATGCTTAAACGAATTGCCGAATCCAAAGAAAACATTCGAACCGTACTTTATGATAGGTATCAAAATTTCGCTGAGGGAATCGAAATGTGAGAGAGAGGGAAAAAGAGGGGGAGGGAAAGACTTTTTCCCAGTGGTGTTTTTTTGTTTTTTGTTTTTTTATTTGTAATCTTGTGATTGATTACGGTATTTTTTTTTTTTTTTTTTTTTTTTTTTTTTTTCCGCCGCATATGTTTTTCTGGGTTTTTTTTTTTTTCACCCGAAAGGGGACAACGCAAGCGCAAGCGCGCAGAACAATTTTACTTGTTCCTATTGTTCCTATGGTTTGTTGGATTTTTTTTTTTTTTTTTTTTTTATTCTTCTTCTTTCTCTTTTTACCTTTTCCCGAGGCAGAATGTCGCGGAAGGTTCGGGGTTTTGGGGGGAAGGGGACCCCTCCTCGCACCGCAGGCGCGGGAAACCCCCACCCGGGAGGCGTTCATCCCAAACCCCCCTCCCTTTTTTTTTGAAAGCTTGCGATAAGAATGGCAAAGCCTTACTTTTTGGAACTACAGATTTATGGGTTTTGGTAAACCAAATTCTATTTCTTTTATCTTTACAGTCTGCCTAACAGTAAGTTTCTGAAAAAAGTAAGTTCACAAGGAAGGAAAATGTT